AAATTAAATCCAAAATTTTTAGATATGCCACATACCGTCCCAAATCTTTAAAATTTTATTTTCCACCCCATCCCACCTTATCTTCTTCTCTAAAAATAAAATAATCAAAAGATAAAAATGTTCTCACCTTTAAACCCCACCACTGTCAACACCACCACCAACACTCTCCGGCCAACCACAGCCACCCATCTCACATAGTCCCTTTAATTAATTGAGATAGAATAGCTTCAATGTTCTTGTAAGCTGCGCAAGAATTTAAGGGTTGCATTGGATCAATTGTTTGCATGTCCATGTTTGTTTGGCTCTAATTATGCATTTCCCCATGTGAATTTATAGATTGAAGCACTTGGGTCCCATCAATTTTGGATAGAACACAGTCACTATGCGTAACATTCAAGCCAAATTTTGAACCAGAAATTGGAGTAGTCGAGGGATAATTGGCTCAATTAAATTCATGAATTGAAGGAGATGTGTTCAACAAAAATGAGTTGTACTATCCGAAAAATTCTAAATAACAGCAGATTGAATGGAGGCTTTTTAGGTTGATGTTAGGACATGTTTAAGGTCGTCTAGATGAGGGCTAATCGAATGGGGTGTTGTCGGCAAGAAAAGTGTTCGCCAATTTGGTTTTTGGCTTGAAATTGTAGCTGTTTTCCGACAAATTTGATGCCAACCGTGTGATGGAAGTTGATAGCATCTATGATTGGATCTTTAATTAACCAGAGAGGGGATTATGAATCTGTCCAAAAGATATCTTGAATTTTTGAATTTGAAATGCACCCACTTCCTCTCTTGGTCATACGGGAGGTGATTATTCAAAAATGGGGATTCGAAGCCAATTTTTCTACTAAAGTTGGAAGTCCGTCTTTGGCATCGAGAAGAATAAAATACAGAAAAGTGGGGTGGAGTGAAATATAAAGTTTTAAAGATTTGGAATAGCAGGTGGTACATATAAAACATATGGATTTAATTTGTAAAAAAAAAAAAAAAGTTTGGGTATTGAAATTACAATTATTTATTTTAATTTTGACATTTTTTTTTTACTATTTTTAACGGCAAAATTTGATCAATTTTATTGTAAGGGACTTTTCACACAAAATGTTTCAAACGGGGGGATTTCTGTAATTTTCAATAGGTATGGGGTATATCGCAATTGGACAAGTTTTAAAAGGAATTTTCTGCTATTAAATCCAAATTGTAAACATATTATATCTTGTTTAATACACTTATATCACATTCTTGAAATTTCATAACGCAACACCTTGTGGCATGAGCTTATGACAGCCATGCATCATATATACCTACATTTCTTAATGCACCCTATTGAAATCGAAACATCTCCAAGATTGGGGCACAATACCAAAAAAAGGAAGAATCGGCTAAAACTAGACAAAGAGGCCGTAGACGTCTTAAAAGGCACTATGATCTTAGGGGATTTGGACAATTCATTTTAAGCAGGGGCGGACCTACATGGGGGCCTAGGGGGGCACGTGCCCCCCTTAGATTTTAAAGGTTTTTTTTTAATATAAAAATAAAAAAATTCTAAACCTACCTCTCATTTCTACTCTCCAGACTCCAGCAGCCAGCTCGCACATTTCTCCCGTTTCTCCTCTTCTTTCTCCCAAAAAAAATCTGGAACCTAACTCGTCCTGTCTCCCACACACGTTCGGCGTTCCGTTTCCAAGCTCCAACTCCCATCGTCGTCACATCACACTGCTCCTATCAGCCTGTGACAAGGTAAGTTCTTATTTTCCTCTCAAAATGAAATTAATGGATATAGGGATTTTTTTTAATTCTATTTTTCTTCCGTTTACCCGATTGATTTATAATTTTTTGGTTATTTCTAGTTCTGTTGTTGTTATGGTAACCAGACAGAAATAACGCGAAAGTATAAAACAAGTTTGAGTTAAAAGATATGCTGCAATTGTGATTTGTGAAGCTTTATTTGGGGATTTAGCATTTAGGGATTTTGATGAAACTTTTTTTATTGAGTGAAGCTGTTGAGTAGTTGTTTTTCATTCTGGGGAATTGTGAATTTGAACATCTAGCAATGAACGAAGCATGATAGAAAAGGAATTATGTAGCCAATCCCAAATTTATAGGAAAATAGGCTTAATTCCTCATCAGCAACAAGAAGCTGTGGAATTTATACTGATAACTGAAGGTGGAGAGGGAGAGGGCCAGCCCATCCATTAGACCAATAAAACAAATTCAACAAAAACCATTTTAAATCCATAGCATCACCGGACAAACAAATAACTTGCTTCAATTTTTCGTCACTATGTGAAAGTTTGATTGTGCCCCCTAGTTTCGAAAGTCTGCGTCTGCCCTTGTACAAAATAAATGTACATAATGGAATACATAGGCCCATGTGGAAGAAATCTGGATTTTTCGTCACTTTGTGAAAGTTAGATTGTGCCCCCTAGTTTCGAAAGTCTACGTCCGCCCCTGATTTTAAGGAATGCAAGCTTTTAATATCGACATTGAACCATACAATGATACAATATAGAAGATTCCTATATTACAAACCTAATCACTGTTAACAAAATACTGCATTACTGCTCATACATATTATTGTTTCCTTTCCATGTATATCAAAGCTAAAAAACAGAACATAACAACTAATATCGGTTGCATATTCTGTTTCATCAATCACAACATTGTATGACATAATGCTAGAGAACAAGGTTGCATATTCTATTTCATCAATCACAACATTGTATGACATAATGTTAGAGAACAATGACGCAAGATCCACAACCAACAATTCCTAGGTCAATGTAAGATTGTCGTTCCCAAGGTTGGGACAAAGGCAAACACGGACTTCATGTTCTTCTGGTCCCTCACGGAGTTTTGGCACCAAAATCTCAAGTATTGTTTGTGGCCAATCATAGTATGCTTCTATATTAGCATCTTCTGGAATTCGGGTTGAAAGTGGGATTTCTCTAACAAATTCTCCAAGAGGGCAGTGCTCTGAAGATGGATCTGTAAGCTTGAAAGTCCTGTTGCGCCTCTTAATAAACGGTGTGCTGGACATACTGATACAAGACACCTTGATGATTCCATGAGTGAGTGTGTTCCTCCATGAAACTTTGACTCTATGAAGATCAACGAATGGCAAGCTGATTACAATCAGAAAACCTTCTTTATCTTCGTAGATTGTTTTGGCAGCTGTAACTGGTCCATAAACATTCCTGAGCACCCCGCTGAATTCCTTTAGCCAGTGTGGTTCACAATGAATTTCCATACCAGAGATTCGATCTGAAGGTGCACTTTTTGCCAAATAACAATCATCTTCGTTTCCAAGTGAGACGAAACCCTTCTTTCTCTTGCTACCAACGGGTGATAGATCAATCACATCCCCATTCCTATGATTGGCAGGCTGAGTCGATAGATGTAGTGCAGATTTGTTAAGAAACTTCTTTGAGTAGGTGTATAGATTACTGTTTATTGGAGGAGGTGACCTCTCGAGTTCGAATTCAGTGGTTGGCATATTTCTCCACAAACTGTAGTCACTTGCTTCAGGTGGGATGGTGAAGTTCGGGTCCCTTCCCGTGAGTTCTGCCCATCTTCTGCGGTCATCTTCATCAAGATCCGTGAGATTGGGTGAAGGAACAACCTCAATGCCATGAATACACTGAGGGTTAGACAGACCCCTGTAATGCTTACGTTGCATCCTATGGGATCGAACAAAACCTTTATCAACACTAAATGGAAAGGGTCGATCCCCTTGACGAGAATGCCCGTTCATATAACTCCGCAACTGCATCTTACCCAGAGCATTCTCAGGCTTTTCCTTGAAAACCCACATGTAGATATTCTCCATATCATGTTGAACCAAAAAACCTTCGACCTCAAGATTAGATTTATCAAAACTAGAAACCCCATTACCGTCAAGTATGATCTTTACCTTCGATTTCTCCTTCATGACTGGCTTAAAGTAGAAGTTGAAGAAGAACCATGCACCCCAGACGCTATCCGTTCTATTCCCACATTTCTTCACAAACTTGGGCACGCTCTGAAAACTTGCAGTCTCATAAATTTGAGAACCTAGTCTGGCATCAAGAATATCACACTTTTCAGGGTTCCAAGATTGTGGAGGGGGTGTTTGCTCGGCTAAAGGGGGTAAATTGATATCTGGTGGACGAACAACCAGGCGATTCATCTTGTGATCTAGTTCGTCACATGCTGAGGCACTTAAATCCATGGACAAAAGGGTTGAAGGATGATGATTCTCCATTGACAAAGCTGTGACAAGAGTATCATACGTCTGACAAACTATTCTGGGATCTCGGAAATTTGTTCCTTTTCAAATTGCACTGGAGACCGGGATTTGGATTATACGGTTTTTCCAATGGCAATTGCTGATGGCGGGTCTATAGATTTTATCCCAAAAACCACTTTGATAAACTACCCATCTTTATAAACACCTCAACCATGTTAATCAAATACCCCCTAAATTTAAACATCATAACCTTAATTTTCCCACAACTAGACTAAAACCTAAAGGTCATAGGTCAAAGAGTTAACAAATGGATAAACCCAATTACTTCCCAAATCAAGAACAAAAACAAGAAAATTAAACTATATCAAAGAAGAACAAGAGAAAGCTACACGAATACTATATCTAAACAAAACCCAAGAATCTTTTTGAATCAGACCCATAAATTCCAGTATTTGTAATACAAAATCCTGAGGGAAAGATACATAAATATCTGTATCTTTATTTTACTTAATCTGCAACAGAATCCAATAGCAATAAATAGTACGAGTGGAATGAATGCTACCAATCTATGAAGCCAAGTCCCAGGAACAGAACCAAATCAGAGGGGATTTTGGAAGAATACCTTTTGGGATAAGCTTCCACAACCAAGAATCCAGAGAGATTCGGGAACTCTGAAGAATTAATGGCCCAAACAGTCCTCATCTTCTCTATAATCTATCACCCTTCAAGAAATCTACTACAATTATCCAACTCGCAAGAACTTTAGTCAAAAGATCTATATATGATTCATATACACGGTTGTCTAAGCAATTTAGAGAGAGAAAGAGACATTACTACAGAGAAAAGATGCGATCACAGCTTTGTTTTTGTTTCGTATTGATTGTTCGTACTCTGGGTGTAATACGAAACAGAAATACAAATGTCGGGACGAATTATGAATTTATAGGGAGTGGGGAGGGGGTGGACGGAGTAATGGGCTGGCCCAACAAAAGATTTGGGACCTTTATTTTATTTTGCAAAAAAGAGTGGGATGACGATATCAAAATATTCGCATTGTATTATTGAATTTGAAGTTAGTGCTTAGGTTTCTCTATCAATACTTGCGAAGGGGATGGAATAACTTTTGTATTGTACATTCGACGTCGGCTATAAAAATATACAATTTTCACTAAAATTCGCATGAAATAAACGACATCAAATAAACTGGCTGACTAAAAGATTGAGACTTGACTATAATTGATGAAAATATGAAATAATACATTCAGACTATGTCAATAAAAAGAAAAGACACAATGTACACTAGCTTCTGGTAATACATGATTAAATGTATCAGACTGTAGAAATTAACTTACTTAAAGTACTCAAACTCGAAAGCATCTTGATGCTAGTGGGTTAGAACCGGAATGAAAAAAAAAATTAATATATGTATCAAAAGTTATATAGACAACTAAAAAAATAGACATATTTTATACTCGAGACTTTAAGCATGTGATGTTTGTTAGTATGATTTGAAGTGATATAACATTGTTACTCATCATTGACTTCCCTTTTCAAATTAATCACTATTTGTTGTTAGGCATAGTTATCTAATTTTGTCTGGCCCCTGTTTGGCCCAGATTAAAATCTTATTTTAATCTAAATCAAAATCAAACAATCAATATTAACATCTTTCATGAGTTCCATAACTTTTTAATCACGTATTTCAAAAATTTCTATCATAATTTATTAAAAATTAATTTTAATCCCCACCAAACGCTCCCTAGTAAGTTTAGGGAAATTAGGTGTAACAAGAAAAATCTGTTAGATACATTGTACATAAATGTCATCGCTCTTTGAGTCAATGGACCACTCCAACACCAAAGGCGACACCCAAGAGATTTCTCTATAAAGAAACAAAAAGGTATGTTGGATTTTATAATGCTGTGTGGTGCATATTAGAAAATAACTTCAATTTTCTTAAATAAAAGAAAGGATATCTTTTCAAAGGATTCGAACAATTTCTTTTTTCTTTCGTTTTGAGAAAGTACTTTTTGTGTTATGTTATAGTCAGATAGGCTTATACCATTATGCTCATGAGCAAAATCTTTAAAAATTTAATTTCTTCATCGTCATATAAGAAGACATTTAAGTTTCGTTTGACTTCAATATTTTTAGAATAGATTTTGTGAATTTTTTTTTTTATTTTTTTGAGGATGTGGGATTAAAATTGTATGTCCATGTACAAAATTATTTTTAAAGATCCCTATTTTTTAATAATACATTATGCTCCTTCAATCATCACATAATTAATTATTGTTTACAATTAACCTCTTTATGACTTTATCTAGTCAATATGCAAAATCATTAATTGATAAAATAGTGTCATTTGTCATTTTGTCTTGCACGTGCCATAATATATGGTTGCCCGTTAAATCAAATCTTAATAATTATTAATGAACGGTTGAGCAAGCAAATTAATCATGATTGCATGAATTATTTATGTATTATTCTCATTCTCTTATGAGAAACAAACCATTTCATGAAGTCCTAAATCGAACTCGGATATAATATTCAGAACATTGTAGCAAATAAACCTTTTTTTTTTTAAACTCAAGTGTCCACCTTTAGCGATTAATCCTGGGTTCTACGCCTTGAACCCTCAAGACGCGGACCAAGTAAATCGCGGGATGTGCCCCAAACTGGCCAGAGTTCAAGAGTCCCCTCCACCGATCTGTCAATGTGTCGAGCGAGTCAACACATGTTGCACCTTACCTTCCAAGAGAACTTCTGCCTTCCCGGATAAATCCTGCCTTTTAGGAGAGAGTCTGCCTTCCAAGAGCCACACGAATCAAACTCATGACCTCTGAATTGCCAACAACTAAGAGTCTCGTCATTTGCCAGTTGGGATGTGCCTCGAGGGGCTTGTAGCAAATAAACCCTGATTAAATTTAGAGTGGCCAAAGTGAATGGATGGAGAGGATGATGATTTATAAAAGTACATCCAAGTGACAATATATAATTAAAACTTCGAAGCCCATTATATGATAGTGAGCACATGAAAATGCACTTTTGCAACTTTTTTCCTAAGCTAAAGGACGCAATATGGTAAAAGTGCACTCTTATTAGGATTATCACCTTCTTAATAGTGTAAATTATTGATAATTAATTGATAGTGTATAAATAAATTGTTAATCATAGATTAGTTAATCATTATCATATAATGGGGATTACTGAGCACATGTTCGCCTATTACCTGGTAGCTTCACGTTTCAAGCCTATTACACGATATATAGGAAAAGAGGATCCACCTAACTTGTACAATGGGTGATGCATTTTAATGTTAAGTTGTAGAGTCTAGTTACTGTCGTTATGCGAAATCAGCACTCGCATTGAGAGGTTAGAAAAGATAGAGTACTGTGATTTACTAGTCACGGAGGAGAATGTAATTTCACGTTAAGGGAATCCTATATGAATCTTCCATATTCTTATGGGTTTATTTTTCTTTATGAGATTTAATTGTTATCAACGGTATAGAATCATGTTTTCTAATTTTTAATATTTAATTCACTTAACAATTCTAGGTGAATTACCACCATTGACTGGATAATTCACTTTCTAATTTTAATGGGACAAGACTTAAGAGGAAAAAGAGTACGACAACTTATCTGGTTTTAATCAATGAAAATTATATCGAGCCATTCACGTGTGCGCCAATATTTTCAATACCACAAATGACCTCAAAAAAAATTATAAAGCCAACGGTAGATTTCTCTCTAGATTTTGATAAGATTTTCCTCTTTTTAGAGATTTCGTGTGTTTTGATGCCAATTTTTGTTTCGACATTCTTTCAGTTTGAGATTGTTTCTCGATATAGATATTTTTTCAATCTCTTATTTCTTTTGAATTGGCGACCTCGATGATCAAGGCATGAATATTCGTTCCGTGACATGTGGGCACGCAATGGGATCCTTTTTGTCGTTGATGAAACATTAAAGTGTAATATGATTATTCAGTACATACAACCACCATCTTTATAAAACTTAAAATAATATTGGTGTTCCAAATGATATCACTTCATACAAGATATTCATGTATCACTGGTTGACCGTAGTTACCATTATGATATCATATAAATAATTCTTTATTGTTGTATTTTTTGGGAGTCTCGTATACAAATTTGTAACATACGAGAGTAAAACTATAATGTTATGTTGAGCGTAAATGTGTTGTTGATTATAGACATTCATAATACAAAGAATATGCATCATTAAAACATTATTAAAAAACCCTTGCAGGAAAAATTTAACAAAGGGCAAAAAAAAAAAAAGTAAATTATTCTTTTAAATATGCTGCGTAAATTATCTCATTAAAAGTCTTAAAAGAAAACTCAACGAGACAAAATCTCGATCAATAAAGAAGAGTACAACATATATTTACTATTCCCCATGATAATATCACTAGAGCTATATTAAATCCTTTAGAGATTTATATAAATAATATTAATAATCCTGCTAAATAAATTGATAATAATCGGGCATTGCAAAATTCATGCATTTTAAAGTTAGTAAGGTATCAACTTTGTGGTATATGACTTTAGAGATGATTTGAAAATTCCAATATTTGGGATTTATTGTAGGATTTTGCTCACCCTATGCAAGTGCTGATGCAATGTTGGAAGCTAGTGTCCAATGACCTGTCAATCTGTTCGTTCAAATTCATTGTACATGCAACAAAGTCAATTATTCCAACACCGCATTTTTTGGGTAGTGCCGAATGAGGTGTCAATCTGTTCGTACAAATTCATTGTACATGCAACAAAGTCCATTATTCCAACAACCATGCTACATGTATCGAAATGGGTGGATGATCGAACACTCACAATAGGAGGGTCCACTTTTTCTTTTTCTTTTTGAAATTTTTTAATCACATGGAGCCCGCATGCATGTGAGAGGTTGTCAACCTCCATTTTCATCCATTTACGTACAAATGGAATTGCTCTTATTCCAACACTGCATTCTTTGGGTAGTGCCCAATGC